CACTTTTATATATAATTTCATTATCTATACTCATTCCTTTAATTGGTGTAAAATATTTAGTTAAATTCTACCCTTCACAAATTTCATTTGGGATTATTGTCTTCCATTATTTGGTGGTCCCACCCACTGTTTTCTTAATCACTGACGCACATGGCAGAGGAAACAGTGAGCTTCACCTATTTGGTTTTGCATGTGCTTTAGTCAATGCAAAGAAAAAAAAAGACATATTACTAATTTAAACCCGTGTTCACGTCACTCATTAATTTATTATTAAAAACTCAGAAGACAAAAAAAAATAGAGAATCGTGATATATGCGGCATATCGAGGTTGTTGCGTGTGCTCCTTTTCATTGTAAATATCAAATTGTTTTTTGTGTCTGTGTGGTTCATGCGTGTGTTTCAGTGAATGAAGGATAGTGGCTATGGAGGGCGGCATCATATACCACTCCATAGTCAACGCCTTGGATTGGCAAATGCAATTTAGCAATTCGAGGTTGCTATATGGTGTCTTCTGACTCTCAGGATCATTGCATGCAGTTGAAGATAAGGCCACAAGAGATCATTAATCACTGACTACATGAATTTATATGGATATAGAGAAAAAATAATTATTTTACTGAACAGGATATCGAATTTGATATTCGTGATAACATAATTAACATGCATTCTTATGTTCAAAATATTATATATTATGAAACTATCTTCATTGTAATTACATCAATAAATAAATAAAAATATTTATTTAATATTATTAATCTTAATTATTTTTAAATGATGTGAGATTGTAAATATATAAAATATTTTTAAATATTTATATATCCTGTCATTATAGTAATTAACATACATAATTCAATATTATGAATATTAAATATTTAGACGGCGAAGACAATTTATTTAAAAATTAAAACTGTTTTAAAAAAATCAGTCATTATCTGATAAAATTTTAATGATAAGAAAAAGTTAAGAAAAAAAAAAATAGTCTCAAAGCCTCGTTATTATCTTGTGGTGAGATTTGGACCACATATATTGAATCCACAGGGTCTGGCCTTTTGATAAGTTGAGAAGCTAAGTGACTAAGTTTTGCCATTTGCTTATTATCCACTGAAAGTCGTAGTCTTTCGCAATTCCAAACGACGCGTGCCAACCTAACCCCACATTCTCACCACACTAACACACACGTACCTTTCACTACTTTTTTAAGGATTCTTGTACCAAAGAGATACAATTTTTCAGGGTTTTTTCTATTTCAACTTTCACTCCAAATTACTGTTTTTCAAATTATTTATTCTCCTTGTATATTTTAAGTTAGTTGAAGAATATCTTGCACTTTTTTTTATCACCAATTAGTTAGAACAAATACTAATTTTGATTAAGTGAAGTTTTTCTTTATGAGTCAAACGTAATTTCTTTTTCTGCATAAATTCTACTAATTATAAGAAAACAAAATAGATACTATGTCTATAATTAAGTCTGTAATTATTAAAAATAAGATTAAAAAATATATTAATTAATAAAAGCATAATGTTTAATTATCAAGAAGTTTAAAACAAATTTATTTTATTTTTTACTTTTTTTAATAAGAATTATAGTAGTAATTTTAATATCATTGAAAGAGAGAAATATTGTCTTGTATGATTGAGTTTTATCGATTATTTTTTTAAAATATTTTTATAGATATTTTTGAAAAAAATGATAATTTTTTTTAAGAATATTTTAAATAAGAATAACCATAAATAAATATAGTAAATAATTTATATTAATATCATCACCACACGAAATTGGAGTATTTTAAAGTTATGCATTCAGTAATCATCAAGTCACAGGGTGAAATATGCTTAACTAAATATAAAACAAAAGGCACATGAAATATGTTTATAAGTTTTTATTTTTAATTATTATAGTATTTTTGTTTTTAATTTTGTTATTTTTGTTAAAAAATGAGTATGTGTTTTATTAATAGGTTCATCAATTTGGTTTAGTATTTCTAAATATATTTATTAAACTTATTTTAACTCCTATTATTGTCGCAGGGTGCAGACTTTTATAGGTGACAAACAATTAATTAAGAAGTCAAAGATTAAAATAAAAATTAAATTAATATATAGTAAAGAGCAAAATAAATGTGTAAATATGGGTTGAAGTTTAATTTAACTTAAGAATAGTATAAATATATTATAATTTAATTATATCATTAATATTGATATCAAATATTAAATATAATATAAATTTTTAATTAAAGAAAGAATATTCTGAGTGTAATTTTTTTCTCTATGAGATATTAAGTAACATGATAGATTTAATAATTTTCTATCAATGTAATGAATTTAGATATACTTAAATCCGTAAAATAAATATTTATTTCAATTTATATAATATAATTTATCGTAATTTGAAGTTTATTTCTAATTATGTATGTATAAAATTAGTTATTTGTCTTAGTCTTATAAGAGAGATTCTTTGAGTATGCTTATTATTTTAAAATTTCTCGTAAAAGAAAACGAACAAACAGGAGATATCACTAAGTAGATATTTCCAATACGCGGAAAACATTTGTTTCTGCATACGACATCGTATTTAGTGACTTGTCGAAAATGTTGATATTGATTAGCTCGTTGGATGTAACAACTAAACTTTAATACAAAAAAGAAGAAGACAAAAGAATCTCTAATATTATGAATAGTACAACCACTCTCTATCTTTTGGTCATGGCTCAAAATAGTGTAGACGTGGTATCTTAAGTTTTAAATTGTTAATCTAATCTTAAATTGTTGAAAAAAATATATAAATTTTAATATTTAGATATTTATTTGAATTTTGTATAATGAATATTTTATATGATGTAATATGTTTTTTTTAATATTTAGATATATAAAGTAAATAATTAAAGATATATATTTTTATATATTTTTATCTTATATTTTAATGTAACTATTTTGCAGTAACATTACACAAATCAATTCATCCATGTAAGTAAACTAAACCTACAAAAAAATGTTAACATTTTATTCTCAAAAAATAATAAAAAAGCTAAATTAATACAATTCGATTAGATCCCATTCAACAATTGCAAATAAAGTAACATTATATAATTTTTTGAAAAATGACAACTATAAAATTTATCCAACCATGCATATTTTTTTTCTTTTGGATATAAAGCATTTAAACAATTGAAATTTCACATGAATCAATAAAGAAGTGCACGACTAGGGATCGTACAAATGTATAGAAAAGAGAGTTGATAAAAACAACTGTGTATATATTATAAGAACTTTTGAAGGAGAATGGTATATTATGAAACAACATAAAAAAAATCCTTAAATTCAAATAATAAATATATATAATGTATACATAACGAGGGTGGACGCAAGGAGACCAACAGGATCGTATCCATAAAAAATAATATTTTAAGTTTTATTTAAAAAAATCATAATTCCCTATAATTAAATTTTATATATTAATTTTCATTTACTAATTTTCTGGGTGGACCAATTTATAAACAAAAAAGGTTTATGCCATGGAAAAGTACAATTTCCTAATCTGCTAATAATAATTCAATAGTAACTATTTCACCAACCTAATTGCTAAGTGACTAACAATACACGTATATAAAAGTTAAAACAACTTTAACACTAGTCGTACACCTTTTGAATATTCAACCAGCGTTATTGCTTATTGACAAGTCAAAAACAGTAATTTTAATTATAAAGAAGTTATAAACGATTTTGTTTTATTTTCGAATTCTATAGTAAGGACTATAAGTGGTAATTTTAATCTAACTGAGAAGTGGTTGTGTTGAATATAAGCAAACGCACTTTTAAAAGTTACCTTGACCGAAAAAGGAAAATGTAAAAGGGAAAAGATAAAGCTCACTTTCAAACTTTTCGGCGAAGATCGATGAGCATTTGGAAAAGGCGAAGGTTAGGTTGCACAACGCATGATAAGTAGTGAAGGTTTGCGGTGTTGTTTGTTCGGTACATGTGATAGGAAGAGGATGGTGGATACGATAATGAAGATTGAGAAATAGAAAAGCACGATTGACTAGGGTGAGATTTTTGTCTGGGTGCAGAGGGTGGTGGGAGAGGCAATGATGGCAACGGGTCACAAAAAGTGAGGTTCGTAAATAGTCCTAAAAGGACCTGTCATTTCAATTTTTTATTTGCTTTGAAATTGTGCATGTGCTTCTCAAACCATTGAATATACTCAACAACTACTGTCGGTTTGATTTGCTTTCTGATAGTTTGATTTAGAGGTTTGGTTTCAGAACCGTCATGTTCGATCAAACTAAACAGAAAGAATTATGAAAAGCTCCTGATTTTGTTTCCAGAAGTAGTACATTCAGGATTTGAGTTCCGAAATATGTTTTTTTTTTTGGCAAAAAATGGAAAGTGAAAGTACTTAGATACGTTTTTAAGTTTCTCTTGACATAACTATTCTTTTAGTCATTAGAAGAAATTGCACAAGTTACTCTTCTACGTCCTTTAACATATATTAACATTCAGTTTTATACAAAAGACCATTATTATTCCCAGAAAAAAATGGAATAAATTTACTGTATAATAAGACATAAATTATTCAATGTATAATTTTTTATTAATTGCTAGTGTTGATGAGGAAAGAGATTATAAGTTTATTTCTCTGAGTGCTGAGGAAATATGACAATTATAATTTTTACTGTCTAATTTATGTTTGTCGAGAAACTATGAATTTTAATTTTTCTAAAAAAAAGAAAATGAATTTTGTATTAAGAGAAAGTGCGCAATAATTCCTTAATTCATCATTAGTGAGATGTGCCATTAGTTCGTGATTTAAATATTAATATTAACGGGAATATTTAGAATTGAATAAAAATGAGATAAGTTTAATTCCCAAGCCCTGTTAGTGTTGACCCGTAAAACCTATTGGGTTGGAGATGATAGGGCCAACGCTAGGCCCATGAGTGATTGGGTTAAGTTTTAGTAGTGAGTTTTGTGAGAAGTGAAAGGTGTAGAGAGAGAAAGAGAATGTCGTCGACGGTGCTGGAAGTGACGCGGGCGGCGCACGAGGAGGTGGAGCGGTTGGAGCGGCTGATAGTAAAGGAGCTCCAGAATGAGCCTGGCACAAACAAGGAGCGTTTGTATCAGAGTCACCGGGTGCGAAATATGATTGATACCATCACCTCGACCACTGAAAAGCTTGTACGTTTGCTTATTATTAGGTTTTTTCTTCCTTTGCCATTTTCACATCGTTACCTAGTTTGCTTTTCTACGTTTCAGATTGGGATATATGAAGATAACGACAATGCTAGGAAGGACGAGATTGCTGCACTTGGAGGCCAAACTGCCTCTGGAATTAACGTTTTCAGTGCCTTTTATGATAGACTCAAGGAGGTCGGTTGTTTCTTTTGCTTTTTGGTTTGAATTTGTTATGTATTTATCAATTTTTTGTTGAAATGGAATTATCTTTTCATAAAAAAGATTTAAGTGGTGAAGCATCGAAATTGTTTCGTGTTTAAATTTGTATTTGTGCAGGTTTATTATTTTGTAATTTTAATTGGAACTCGAAGGAGAATTGAGTATTTAATCAAGTTAGATTTTGTTAAAAAATAATTAACTGGGTATGGTGAGGCTGGGTTCGCGCAGGTATTTTAATTTTATTACTGGTTTATGGATTTATGTATAATGGTTGTCATTTGGTATTGCAGATACGAGAGTATCATAGGAAGCACCCAGTTGCACGTGTTGTTGACGCCAATGATGATTATGAAATGGTCCTCAAAGAGGAACCTCAAATTGAGTTTAGTGGAGAGGTCTATCTCTCTCCCATCCCTCCCCATTTGTGTTTAATATGAAAAAAATACAGAATGATGTATGCATTTAGCGAAATTGAACTTGGCTTAGCATGTGGGACAAACAAGTTCAGGGATTCTTGATAATCTAAAGAATAGCACTGGCAAGTTGTGTGGATAGATACTACTCTGGTTTATGTAATCTATTATGTATGATTGATTCTTTAAATAGTTTGTTCGTACATGGGGGGAAAACTCTGAAGGGGTTCTTAGCTGAGTTGAGTTTTTTTTTTTTTTTCAAGACAATGAGTATATTGACTAAACAAGATGAAGTCTAACGTATTATACTGAGAGGAGAGACATGTCACTTTCTTGTACTGAAAATTTCTTCTCCGACAGCTTTTTCTGAGCACTGATTCTGTAAGAATTTTCTTTCAGGAAGCTCTTGGTCGATACTTAGACCTGCATGAATTATATTATCAGTATGTCAATTCTAAGTTTGGAGAGCCAATAGAGTATTCTGCATATCTTGATGTTTTCTCAGACACAAATAAGATTCCCCGCAAAATGAAAATGACCAGGTGAAATGTGTTCTCTGTTGATTTAATTTGACAATCATTTGGCATTTATGTGCATCCTAGTTTTGTATGAAGTTTGTATTTGTATAGGCTTCTAAGTTTTTGCTGTTCAATATCTCCAGAAAGTACCGAGAATATATGGTGAATCTTTTGGAGTATCTATTGTACTTTTTCCAGCGGACTGAGCCCCTGCAAGATCTTGATCGAATTTTCTCAAAGGTGAATTTTCTACGGCCTCTATTTCAAACTTGTAGCATTTTTAGCTTAATTTTGAGCATCCTGAATGTATAGACTTTTTTTTTTTTTTTTTTTTCTTATTATTATCAAAATGTGAGAATAGAAACTTAACAAGTCTTTACTTTACTTAAGATTAAAACAGAGAAAATATATTTTGGAGGGCTTGAAAGACCCCTCTTATGATCTTCTATTTATAATGATAGAAAACTGATACAATGGGAAGACGAAAGATAAAAAAACTGCCCTATATTCTAGGCACAGAACTAGGTTCAGCTGAAAGAGATTCCCCAACACTATAATTACTCTAACATACATAGACTTAATAATTATTCTAACAACTTTGAATGATTTGCATTAGATTCAATTTCTGATAATTTTGTTCCAGTGATAATTTTGTTTCACCATGTCTCTTAACATGATTATAGTTTTTGTGCCAATTTCTTCAAGTTTTTAGGCCTTCTATTACAATATCTTTTCCTCTGTGAAACAGTAGTAGTTATTTGCTTTAGCATGGTGCTTTTATTATAAGAACAAAATTGTCGTGGTACCTTGTTGTAAATATATGGTAAAAACTTGCTTTAGGTGGTTAGGGCATGTGGGGTCAAGACATGTTGATACCCAGTTAAGGATAGTGGTAGATCAGATGGAGGGTAACCTAATATCTAGATATTGAGGAAGACCTAGAAAACTATAAGGGAAACTTCTAAGAAAGATATAGAGGTCAATAATTTGTCTATAGACATGATTTACATAAAAAAAATTGTGGTGTTTTTTTTTTTGCCTAGTGGAGAAAAAATTGGTTGTATTCAAAAGTAATTTACACCTTTTATAAAAATATTTTTACTAAAGCGAGTTAACATTAAAATGACTTTTATGTTTTCCATATTTTATATTTTCTATACACAAATGCATGATTGACCATTGGCTGGATTTGAACTTTTAAGTTTTAACAGTCATCTTCTGTAATTCCTGCTTCATGTTTCAAATCCATTCCTTCTTTTCTTGGCTGGAGTAATATTGAAAGGCTGTCCATGAAATTTTTGTAAGTTAATCTTAGTGTGTGTATAAAATTTCAAAAAGTGATTTTATGGGTGAATGAAAAGGTGATTTAGTTTCTAGGGAATTTATAAAATGCAAAGCTATTTTTTGTGTTTACTGTTATAGAAATATTTTTCATTTTCAAAGTATGTTATCATTTCCTTTTCTAAAGCTTAAAAACAAATAATTTTTAGAAGTACTTTTTGATGAAGAAAAATTTAAAGCAAAAAGACTCTAATTTTCATCTTATTGAAATGGGGATTCCTTGTGCATTATTTTCATTTTTCCTTTAAATGGGAGGGAGAATCTAATGTAAATGTGGCAGGTAACAACTGAATTTGAAGAAAATTGGGCTGCTGGAAAGGTACGGGGATGGGAAAATGACAATCAGGAGAATGGACATGTACCTGCTGAACATGCTACTATTGATCTTGATTATTATAGTACTATTGAAGAGCTAATGGAAGTGGGTCCTGAAAGGTTAAAGGAGGTAAATTGAGCACTATGTATAAATATGTGTGTGGGCACATATTCCATTAAGTGTGAAAATTCACCATCAATTATCATATAATTGATGTTCCTTTTTTACATTTTGATGTGATAGGCACTGGCTGCATTGGGGCTGAAGACTGGTGGTACTGTTCAGCAACGTGCAGAGAGGCTCTTCCTCACAAAGGTAATTTCTAACGCCTTATGTCGTATATGGATATTCAGTCCTGCCCCTTATTTTTATTTGTTTTCTGTGGAAGCAAGTTGGAACGTAGGAATTATCTTTGTGGTGGTCCTCAAATGTCAAAATCAGTGTCTTGAGGGATGTTTGGTAACTTTTTTGTTTTTTTTTTCCTAATATTTTCTTTTAACTTAGCTGTCATTAGTCCAAACACTTTCTATCGGAGTCAAAATTGTATGCCTATTGGGCAGAAGCCCAAAAGACAGTTGTATCAGCTACTGTTAATTATGTTTTAACTTCGACACATTGTTGTGGTCCCTTACTCTTATCAGCTATTACAGTTCTTGGAGAACTATCTAGTGTGCGTATAATTGGCTCTTGTCCTAATATATATATTTATGGCTGTTTGATTCTATTTAGTTAAAGTATTGGAAATTCATAATTTGTTCAGTTTATCCAATATCTCATACAAATTCTTTATTTACTTCATAAGTGGCATTTCTGTTTTCCATGTTTAATCAAAATTAAATTGGAAATCTTTGACCTAACATAATCTATTTGTTCAAGAGACCTTGGTTCATTAAATTTGATTAAAGTATCTTTGAGGCCCTTCTCATAAGTAGTATATTTGTAAAATGAATCTGACATGAAAGCTTTATATAACAATTTTTCTGTTCTTTTTCCATGCAGCACACACCTCTTGAAAAATTGGACAGGAAGCATTTTGCTAAAGGGGCACGTAGTGTAGAAAAGAACGGGGTTGCAGTTCCACAAGAAGATGGAAATTCTAAAGAAATTGCATTGATGGAAGCTAAAGTGGAAAAACTCTGTGATTTGTTAGAAGAGGTTAGTGCATTTTGTTTATTTTCCTTTTAAGTTTACTTCCATTGAAGTCTTCTTTTCAGTATTTTGGACATGTATAATGATTGCATTTATCATTTTTTCTTTCTGGATGTATAATTTTTCTGACTCTTCTACAGACAATTGCTCGAACAAAAGACAATGTTGTAAAGAAGCAAGCCTTAACATATGAGGAAATGGAAGCAGAACGTGAGGAGGTTAGTCAATAAGTCAAGCAATATAATGATCCTCAAATTATTGATACTGCATTAATTTGAAAATACTTTTTAAAATTTCAGCTTTATTGATTCGGCATTGCAATAACTGCAGTCTCCTTGGGGATTGCCTTAATTGCAGCCTCAAGGGGTGTATTTAGTCTCACATGGACTAGAGAGTTATGGATTAAATAGAACTTATAAACCCTGGACAATTCTGACCTTTAAATCTAATTGTGGGATATGTTCAAATTCTAACAACATTTTTTTTTTCGGAATTGGATGCCATAAATATAACAGATGCATTTTTTGTTTGACGTATGAGCATCTGGGAGGTGCTTTTTTATTTTACTTTATTTGAGAGAACAAGATCTAAGGTGGCAATGGTTGGGTAGATTGACAGTCATTTAAAGTTAACTGGGTTCAAAATAATCTCCAAGATGATTTTCTCCATTCTACTATCCATATAAAAGTACTTTTAACTTTTCCTATATCTGCAGTTGGACATTGGGTTGAGTTAGTCTTATTGGATATATATATCGAACAATAAGAGACGTTGTTCAATCCTTACTGTAAAATTAATTGTAAATAGTACTTATTCATCTAAGAATTACGAAGCTGATACTTAAGCTATCAATGAGGATACTTAAGCTATCAATGAGGTTCACCTGTTTGATTAATATATGCAGAGATTAGGGATGACAGGAGTGGTTTCATATTAACATTTAAGTATACAAAATGTTTTGAAGTATTCATCAGAAATGTAATTTGATTTGTATCCTACCAACAAGAAACTTTCAACGTGTGAATTTGTGTGCAGTACTGGCTCGAGTATAATGTTAAATCTTGTACATGTCTGTTTTAGAATGAAGTATGTTGTTATAGATTGCATCATCTGTGGCATTTTATGTAAGGGAGGAAGAGAAAAAGAATGTTCTGACAGAAATGAACATTATGAAAAAAACAAATTGTTAACTGGGGGAATTCTTTGTATGGCACTTCCAAAAACTACTGTTGTCAAAATTTTTGGGATTGATATGAGAAAATTCAAAATAGTAGAATTGACTATGAATTGTCTTTTGTCTCTTTTTGGGTCATTGGAAATCTTGGACAAATTAAAACTATTTTTTATGTTTTGCAGTCCCTATTAATGAAAGAAAGTTTCAAACCTTCTTCCATACCCCATTTGCTTTAGATTATCTTTTTGGCCAATTACTTTTATTCCTTCCATGTTCTCAACAATGAGCATTTAATTGTTCATTATATTTAATGTTCTTGACAGGAAGAAACACAAGAGGACACTGAAAGCGAAGATGAGGAGCAGCAGATATATAATCCCCTAAAATTACCAATGGGATGGGATGGGAAGCCTATACCTTATTGGCTGTATAAGCTACATGGTCTGGGTCAGGTATTATTTATTTGGCATTAAATTTTTTGAAACTGAAATAGTATTAGAGAAAAAGTTTTATAAGAAATTATCGTTACATATATTATTACTCAATTGGTAGAATCATGATACATTAGATAAATCTGTTAAACTGATTGAAAAGGGTAAGGACTTCTTATAGTAGATTTCTTTATTGCTCACAATATTTTGATTATTAAATAGAATATAATATGTATTTCAGGAATTTAAGTGTGAGATATGTGGGAACTATAGTTATTGGGGCCGTCGAGCTTTCGAACGACACTTTAAAGAATGGCGCCATCAACATGGGATGCGGTGTCTTGGTATACCAAATACCAAGAATTTCAACGAAATCACATCAATTGAGGTACGCATGTGTTTATGTTGTTATATTCCCTTGCCGACAGTTAATCTGAAGCATATTTCTTAAGCAAAATATAAATTACTTTCATCTTCTGTGTTGTATTGTATTTTCTTGAACACACTGTTGAAAGTTCCACATTGCCTACCTCATATCATTTGGTATGGTTTAAATACATGTTAGGCTATTCCATATATTGTCAATTGTTTTGTTATCCAGGAACGTGGTACGGGTCGACTGATTGGAGAAGGACATGAATCTGGAGGCTTATACTACCTTAGGACTAAGTCATCTGTATCTTGTGTTGCATCTTTATCCCCAAAACTGTTACATGAGTGATTAGGGCATCCTCATTTAGCAAAATTGAAAAAAATGGTTCCTGAACTTCAGAACCTTCAAACTTTTGAATGTGAATCCTGTCAACTAGGTAAACATACCAGGTCATCCTTTCCAAATCATTCTGAATCTAGATGTGATTCTGCTTTTAGTATTGTTCATTCAGATATATGGGGATCTAGTCGTGTTTCATCTTTTGGTTTTAGATATTTTGTCACTTTTATTGATGGGTTTTCTAGATGTACTTGGGTTTATCTTATGAAAGATCATTCTGAACTATTGTCTATCTTTAAGTCTTTCCTTAATGAAATCAAAACTCAATTTGGAAAAGTAATCAAAGTTTTACGAAGTGATAATGCCAAAGAGTACTTTTCTAATGATTTTTTTAATGTCCTAAATTCTCAAGGCATTTTACACCCGTCCACGTGTCCTCACACACCACAGCAAAATGGTATAGCAGAACGAAAAAATAGACATTTGGTTGAAACTGTTCGTACCTTATTGCTTGGTGCCAATATGCCTATTCATCATTGGGGAGATGCTATTCTAATTGCATGCTTTCTCATTAATAAAATGCCATCTTCTTCTCTTGATAATAAAGTTCCACATTCTATTCTATTTCCAAAGGAACCGATTTTTCATGTTTCTCCTAGGGTATTTGGATGTACATGTTTTGTTCATGACATGTCTCCTGGCTTAGATAAACTCTTACCTAGAGCTATCAAATGTGTCTTCTTGGGGTATTCTCGTCTTCAAAAAGGATATCGGTGTTATTCTCCTGAAACTAAGAGGTACTACATGTCTGCTAATGTCACATTTTTTGAATCATCATCCTTCTTCCCTTATTCTATGCAGGATATTGATTCTGTCCAAAATGTTTTTCCTGTTCCCTTAGTTGAATCATTTGTACCTCCTATTCCTGACACCCCAAATCCCAACCAAAATACTCTAGAATCATCATCACACCCTATCATCACCTATCAATGCAAGAACCAGGTGAACAATCCCATTCCCCAAGATGAGCCATCCATAACAGGTCCTTCTCCATCATCCTCTAATACCACGGCTCCTGATAACGATGACTCCAGTTGGCCCATTGCCATTTGCAAAGGTACTCGTTCTACTCGTAATCCTCATCCCATTTACAATTTTCTTAGTTATCATAGATTGTCTCCTTCCTATTGTTCTTTTATTTCCTCTATTTCCTCTATTACAATTCCTAAAAATGTGGTCGAAGCACTTGATCATCCTGGATGGCGACAAACCATGATTTCTGAAATGCAGACTCTTGATCACAGCAAAACATGGGAGCTTGTTCCTCTCCCTTTGGGAAAGAAAACAGTTGGTTGTCGTTGGATCTATGCTATTAAAGTTGGGCCCAATGGTTAGGTTGATCGTCTCAAAGTCAGGTTAGTGGCTAAAGGGTACTCTCAAATATATGGACTTGATTATTGTGATACTTTTTCTCCTATAGCCAAAATAACCACTGTCTGCCTGTTCCTTGCCATGGCCGCCATTCGTCATTGGCCTCATCATCAATTGGATATTAAAAATGCTTTTTTGCACGGTGACTTAGAAGAAGTTTACATGGAGCAACCTCCTGGATTTGTTGCTCAGGGGGAGTCTGGTTTGGTTTGTAAATTACGTTGATCCCTCTATGGCCTAAAACAGTCTCCACGTGCTTGTTTTGGAAAATTCAGCTCTATTGTTCAAGCTTTTGGATTAAAACGCAGTGAAGCAGATCATTCAGTATTTTATTGTCACACTGCCCCTGACAAACATGTTTATTTAATTGTGTACGTTGATGATATTGTCATCACAGGGAATGATGCCGCCAAAATATCTCAGCTAAAAGAGCACTTGTGTAGTCATTTTCAGACCAAGAATCTTGGAAATCTAAAATATTTCTTGGGTATTGAAGTAGCTCAATCAAGAGAAGGTACTGTCATCTCTCAAAGGAAGTATGCTCTAGATATTCTAAAAGAGATAGGTATGATTGATTGCAAATCTGTGGATAGTCCTATGGATCCAAATTTGAAGTTAATGGCAGGACAGGGTGAAGTTTTCTCTGACCCAGAAAGATATAGAAGATTGGTTGGGAAACTTATTTATTTGACGATTACTAGACTTGATTTGTCTTTTGCAGTTGGTGTTGTCAGCCAATTTATGCAAGCTCCTTGTGTGGATCAGCCAATTTATGCAAGCTCCAAGACAAGGTTTATTATATGAAGATAAGGGAAATACCCAAATTTTTGGGTACTGTGATGCTGACTGAGCTGGATCTCTGATGGATAGGCGTTCCACTACAGGCTATTGTGTTTTCTTTGGAAGAAATATCATTTCATGGAAAAGCAAAAAGCAAAACGTTGTTGCCCGATCCTCTGCTGAAGCTGAATATAGGGCAATGACGTCTCTTACCTGTGAACTTGTTTGGGTAAAACAATTCTTGCAAGAATTGAACTTCTGTGAGATTCAATCTATGAAGATATATTGTGATAATCAAGCTGCTCTTCACATTGCTTCCAACCCAGTATTTCATGAGAGGACTAAGCATATTGAGATTGACTGTCACTTTATTCGGGAGAAGTTGTTGACTAAAGAAATTTGTACTGGGTTTGTTGGTTCCAATGATCAGCTTGCAGATGCATTAACAAAATCTTTGAGAGGACCTCGAATGGAATTCATTTGTTCCAAGCTTGGTACATTTAATTTGTATGCTCCAGCTTGAGGGGGAGTGTTGAAATATTTATTAGATTAATTGTATCTTGTTGGGCATTTATGAGATTAGTTGTAGACCTAGTTCCTAAAATGCATCTATTTATCTTCTCTAGGATTAATCATGTCTCTCTATTAATTGTATCTTTGAATTTGTATTTTTATCTCCTATAAATAAGAGAACTCATGAAGATGATTTCAGGCTCTCAAAATCAGTTCTTTATCTTCCTTTTTCTATTTCAAGTTGGTATAAGAGCGAGTTCATCCCGCTCTGTCTGTCTCTGTTTTTTTCTGGCATTAATTGCTGTTCGCCACCGTCCGCCGCTGGTGCTGTACTTCTCTGGCACCATTTCTCTCTCTGACATTTGGGTTAGGCTTGCCTCGAGGAGCGCGACCCAATCCCGCTTATCGCTTCCTCCGTCTCTGCCTCACGCGCCGCCACGCGCCACCGTCGTCCACAGCTTCCTCCGCGCATGAGCCTCACGCGCTGCCCTCCCGGTGGCTGTTTTGCTCCAGGCCACCTCTATTCGGCTAGCCTCGTCGCCCTGATGCCAGATCTGCACTTTGTTTTGTGTTCTCTGTCACAAAACGTGGTGGGTCTGCGTTTTTTTCTCTCTGCCTCTCTCGGTCCTCTCTCTGCTTCCATAGATAGCACGCTGGTCCTTTCTTGTTTCCTGGAAAATGTCACCTGTGTCTGTATCGTTTTCTGGGACTCCGACTATAACCACAGAAAAATTAAATGGGAAAAATCATTTGTCTTGGGCTTCCTCTGTTGAGCTCTGGTTTCTAGGTCAAGAAGTTCATGATCATCTAGAAGAAGATGGAAGTACTAAACCAGCAGATCAGGCTCCTTAATGGAAGAAACTAAATTATCAACTTAGTGCACTATTATGGCAATATGTTGAACCAAATATTTTGAGCACTCTTCGATCCTTCAAGACATGTAATTCTTTTTGGAAAAAGGCCCAAAATATCTTTGCTAATGATATTCAACGACTTTATGATTCTGCTAATAGACTAGCCTCCCTTAAGCAAGAGGATAGTTCCATGCTGTCCTTTGTTGCTGAAGCTCAATCAGCAGTTGAAGAATTAAAAATGTTCTTGGAGGCAGAATCATTAGAGGAAAGTAAGACGAAGCTGGATAAATTCTATATGGTAATGATTCTTAGGGCTATGAATCCAGAGTTTAATTATGTTAGAGACCAGATTCTAATTGGAGAAGAAGTTCCTTCTACGGAGAGTTTAATCACAAGGCTACTTCGTGTTCCTTCTATCAAAAGCAAAACAGTCAGGAACTTGTTGATTCTTCCGTCATGATTTCTGCTCGTGGAAGAGGTAATCACAGCTCTAGAGTACGTGGTGGGAAAGGACGTCCTCAGTGCTCTCATTGCAAAAGAATGAGACATACTAAGGAAAATTGCTTTGCTCTGCACGACTTTCTTGATAAGGCAGCTAATACCTCAAAATCTGAAGCTGATGAGCCCAAGTTCTCTCATGAAGAGTATCAAGAATATTTAAGGATGAAATCAACCAATTTGGCTCAAGCATCTACAACACCAAATTCGTCAATCGCTTGCATTTCGCAATCTGTGGAAAGTCAAAATCCGTGGATTATTGACTCAAGTGCTTCTGACCACATGTCTGGTAATACCTCTTTATTCTCCTCTCTTTCATTTCCTAAAACCTCCCATCTCATGTCTTTAGCTAATGGATCTAAAGTAGCCTCTAAAGGAATTGGTCAAGTATCCATCTCTTCTTCTTTAAACCTTTTGTGTTCCTTCTTTTCCATTCAGTCTTGTTTCTGTAAGCCAATTAACCAAATCATTGAATTGCTCAGTAACCTTTATTGTCAATTAGTTTTATGTTGTAACCTTAACATGGTATCAGAGCCAAAGCTTAACATCTTTCCGGTTATTGTCATGGGCCAAAAGTTGCTCTTTAGTTGGGTCAAAAGTACCCTTTGCCTGGTCCGACAGGCTTCGTTGGAGGAGGCGTGTTGAAAGTCCCACATCGCCGTCTCATATCATTTAGTATGGTTTAAATACATGTTAGGTTACTCCATATATTGTCAATTGGTTTTATGTTGGAACCTTAACAGACACCATTGTTTTATTTTATTAATGGGTGCTGCTGAGTCCTTCATGATTTAAGATGGAATTAGTCCAAGTTAACATTACATTTTTTCCTTGGTCTATAACTAATCGGAAACTAACTTAATTAGCCAGTATTAAAATTTTCTTGTATGTACTGGTTAAGAAATCAAAAGTTTTTTTATAAGAAAGTGGAGTATTCAATGTTCCTAATGCACTTCTGCTGTAATTTCCAATGAATTTTTTATTTATTCCTTAAGGAATTCCTTTAGGTGCTTGTTAGAAGAATCCATTTATTAATAAGTTTGAGGTGTATGACTTTAAAAAAATTGATTCCAAAAATGAGTGCATGTTTGATTATTAATTGTTGATGTACTATATTATGTAACCTCTCAAAAACCTGAAGATTTGAATAAGATTCTGCTTGTGTAGAATGCGCAGGGCAATTCGGAAAATGCTTGCTTTTAGAACTTCGTCCAGTAGTCATAATTGGCAAAATTTTATTTTGATGGACTTATGCAGTTTTTATAACATCCCATTTTATGTACTTAATAAGATATTGCTTAATATTAGAATTTTAATTCTAGTCACTTCACTCCACTTATGCTTATTTGTACTTGATATCATTTATGGCAATTTGGTGATAAAAAGTAGCTCGTGGTATACAATACCATAGTTGGAATATATCTCTATTCGCTAGCACCCTAGATGGCTAGACTTATGCTTGAAATATGAATATAAGCTAAAACACACATGAAATCGGAATATTTCACGTCTCATCGACCTAGCTTTTCTTTGTGGGACTCTGCAGTCTTTTTCAATCGATATCTAACTTAAATCTATGGACTTTCTTTTTTAACCTTGTGGCATTTATATATCTTACACGCTATCATATTTGTCGCAGGAAGCAAAGGATCTTTGGAAGAAGATACAGCAAAGACAAGGAGTGAACAAGTGGCGCCCAGATCTAGAGGAAGAGTATGAAGACAAAGAAGGCAACATCTATAATAAGAAAACATACACTGACTTACAGCGCCAGGGACTGATATGAGAAATCAACTTGAAGATTACTCTTTTCAAGTAGTTTCCCACTTGGGTGCGTGTGTGAAGTGCAAGCAATTGCTTTCTGCAGAGTTGTTGGGGAAACGGTTGTAACTATACACAATATTGTGCACTACCAGGAAGAGTGGGGATAAAGGAGAATGAGCCATATTTTGTAGCTTGTATCGTACTTTCTTGTAGCAAGTATTACCATTGATGTTACATAGTGATACAAGATTTTGGGTATAAGTAGCCTACTAATGTCTCTTTATCTGAGTTTGAGTGAGATTATGACTGCTGTTATGTTTGGAATCTACTTTACATGAACAGTGTCCTTACACAGGTAGCGTGTATAAATATATCGGGGCATATGTCTGTTAAAATTTGTATAATGGATTACACACGTCGTTTCACATTTTTACATGGATAAACGGGTGTTTATTCCTTTTCTAATTGAACTAATTTCCCAATTCAACGACATTATATCGACATCCCCAAACGTAGAGGATTCTGGATCTCAATTCCCTATCCATCATTTCTCTAGAAACCAAATGATCTTTGGCAGTCAAATTGTTATTAAAATTGGGCAAAAAGTCGTAATATTTGTTTCTTAAAAACGGAAATTACATTTGCAGTCAATAAACCCGAAAATGTTGAGTTAAATCAGTCAATTGATGGAATAAAACTATCATCATTCCTAGGGGTAGATCCCATCAAAGATAAAACCATATGCGCTGTTGGAACTGTCTCTTCGTCTTTGCATACGAGAGCCACTCTGACCACGTTTTCTTATCTGCATTTACTTACTTTGTGCTCTCCGTAAAAAAGGCTGGGAAATGAACATGAATTGGAACTTCTGTTAAAGGTATGCAAGATAGATCATCGTCGTGCCATCATTGAAGCTGTTTATAACAATAAATACTTGTTTTTAAGGTTGATTAATGTCAGTGTATTCAGCGATGCTGATAACTAAATCTGTGTTTGATTTGCGGGTGACACAATTTCCAAAGCAATTCAACGGGGAAGCTTGTATCAGGTTTGGGTTCCTCTGTGAAATTTCAAACGTGAAAACAAACGCACACTAACGATTCTCTTCTTTCAAAATATTCCATGTGTTGGATGAAAAAAAATAGTTTTTAAATATATTGGTTTTCAAAGATTAAGATTACAACCCTTTTAGTATTTATACCTATATTTCTAATTATATTTATTACATAATTTTTTTTTATTAAAAGTGATATGATTAAAAATAAAAAAATCAAAATGATATCGATATTAATAAAAAAATCTAACAATGTCTATGCTCCAATGATATTTTTGTACTGGAAATAATACAATCCAAGGTGCTGGCTTTCTGCTTTGTAACTCAAAATTATGATAAGGAAATTTTACATATTAAAAAACGCTATATATGTTAAGAAGTGGTTTAGTCAAAAACTAGATTTTTTTTTGGTTCGTAACAAATAGCAACGCTCTTTCTTCTGTGTCACTGAGATAAAGAAAATTACAGATAAAAATGAATTAAATGCTCAAGTTAAAATCCCTTGTGGAGAAATTAATAAGTTAAAAAAATGTAAAAATATTATTAATGCATGAAATAATAGTATTTCGTTTTTTTTTTCTCAAAAACATTTTGTTGAAAAATTTATTCAAATGAGATCGGATATGACCTCCTTAAATCTCGTTTGAATAAATTTCTTACAAATATTTGTAACTCTTATTTAATTTCGCTCAGTATTTAACACGATCGAATTAAGAAAAGAAAAAAAGAAAGAAAAAGAGAGTGACTAAAGACACACATTCGTTCAACATTCCCTCCTACAGAAAAAAGTAAAAAAAAAAAAAAAAAAAGAGATCATATCAATCTGACATATAAACAAATCTTGGATTTTTTGGTATAGCAATAAATTATATTTTGAAGAAAAAAGCAAGTGGAGGAGAGTGAAAGAAAATCATATATTAAAAATCACTAAACAAAAAGAGGCAAATCGCGGTTCAACAAGAAATTGATCAAATAGCACCAAACGGCCTTGAGATCAAATAACAATGAAAGGCAACACGACAGCGAGATGATGTTGTCTTCGACAAAGTGGAAGAGACAATCACCGTGACGATTTCACGCGACAAGAGGAAGTGCATTGATAAAGTGGAGAGTGCAAATAATAACTGCTTCTGTATAGATATTTGTCATTGAAAATCAACAAATTAATGGGAACGAAAGAGATAAAACCAATAAATGAATAAACAAAATTTAAATTTATCGAGTATTTCAACTCATAAGGTACGTGAATTTTTTTTTCTATTAATATTAAGTAATTAAGATTTAAACAAAGACCATTGAAACGATAAAAAGGCTTTTTAATTTTTTGTTTGTTTATAATGATTTTAATATAAAAGTCATGCAAATATTAATAAACTTTAGAATATTAACAAAATATATATAAAATAAAATATTAATAAATAACAATAAATTTACTTTTGTGTTGGTAAAATTAACATTCGAAATAATTAATATTTACTTACGATAACACTGTAATTTGAACTTGAAATAAATATAACAGGCAAAAATAAGGAAAGTGATAAAACTTTATACGTGAATAAGATACATCTAAATTTCATTTTTTAAATTTTGTATGTACAGAAAAATGAGTTCTTGGATTCGACCTGTGAACAACAAGCAATAATTACACCAATAAATGAATTCATATATTATAATATAACACGATTTGATAAGTACTTAATCTTATAATTTTTTAGGTAAAAACTTAATCTTATAATCATCATGTTTCACACAATTTCAGGAACTTAATTTAACTATTTTTATGTCATGCTACTCCACCTTATCAATTTAATTTTAATTTTTGTAGAAAGTAGTAAAAAGTTATATTAAAACACAAATTAAGAGAAGATCCAAAGCTACTTTAGGTGAAACAATTAGACAATAATAAGATATATCATTTCTCCGATCTCAAATTGTATTTTAAGTTTTTTATACTGTTTAATAAAAAAATCATAAAGTCACTATTTTAATAGTATTATAAAACCAAGAAATTTAAAATATATTAACAATATAGAATTATATGACAATATAAATCCTTTTCCATTGTTATAGTATTTAAAATCTTCACTTAGGTGTTATTTTCACTTCCAACTTAATCAATTAAACATAAAAACAACTATTAAACATTTATACACCCAAATACAAAAGGAAGAGAAGTGCTAATAGAGCACACTATTGATAACTCTTACTAATAGTTGCAAATTATTTAAAACTACAAAAATCATGTGCAAGTCATTAAATAAAAAAAATCCGGCATACCAAAATTTGCAATTTTAAGTAAATTTAAACCAATAGTGATGTCTAAAAAGAGTGTTCAAACATGTGTTGCTAACATTTTGGATAATGCTAATAACACTTTCTTAACATTATTTATGATTGGGTAAAACCATATGAAGCCTCACTAATTAAAGAATGAAATGAAAAAAAAAATGAGAAAAAAATATATTACTCAGTTAAACTCAGACTTCAGCAATTATAAGTATGCATGGGAAAGGGTTTAAAAAGTTATACTACTTTTGCACTTCTAAAACAATCGGTGAAAAAGACAAATTGAAGTAAACGAGGTTTGAAATAAGCCGATGTCGAGGGATCAAAATGGGTTGCAGAGGAAAAAACATGAAACAGAAGGGAACACATGGAACAGTAGTACCACTATAAATTCTTTTTAGGAAAACTTTCAGAGAAATGAAGTGAACTTGCGAGCCCCATTGTACTCTTTTGTAGAAGGGCATGCAACTTTAGATGACATACTCACTGCAACGGCATGGAGGAGAATAAATGCTAAAAGAGTAACAAAATGCGAGGAAACTCATGCATGGGGATTAGAAAAGCGCTATTATAGGGAGAATATGAATGCCATTTCTTTTATTCTCGCTCAAAATGAAAGCAACAAAAAAAGAGGAAGGAAATTAAAACCTGATGGATAAAAAGCAATGAAAGATATAGAAATTGTCTCAATGTGTACTTTCAGGAGAATGATGTATCCGGCTTAAAATTAGCGACTCAGACTCATTTGAACCAGGCATCAAAGCATCACAAGCTTTGGGAGACCCATCCTCAACAATTAAGGGATTAGGATTAACCTTTGTATCACCAAAACCCAGCTTTTCATCTGCACAATGGGCAAAACCAGTCGTTTTGGCTTTGCAATCTATGTTATCACCCTCTCCGTGCAAAGTGGAGGCCAACTGCGCTTCATTTTTAGCGGCCAAGGAGTTATCCTCCACTGCATTCCCTGAATCCACCTTAGCAGTAGTGATTTCGGGCTCTTTCTCTTGCAAACCTGCTACAGCTGCTGCTTGGTCCACACGAGCAGAAGATGGACTAGACATGCCAGTCTTATCATGATTTTGCTCCATTTGGCTGTAGGTTTGATTGATATCTTTCAATTGCTCTTTTGCAGGAGATACAGTTTCCACTTTGCCTGTTTCTAATGTAGGCATTGGCACATCCTTTATCCCTACGGAAGCTGAGACAGAAATGTGCCCATTCTCCAAACTAGGAATAGGAATCGGAATCGACCCATCCACTTGCATCTGGTTGGATACCACAATATTATCTATTTCCCCCTTCCTAGGCATCTTCACCGTGTGCTTCTTGTAAAGGTCCATGGCTCTCTGAAAAATTGGAGAAAATATTCACTCATTAAGAGTACAGAATTCAGTATTTAAGCATATGCATAGAACCTAACAAAATGGACAAGTTTGGGAAGATAAAATTCTAGACAAAGCAAATTCTCGTTAACAATAATTGTGGCAACACTTAAGTGTTAGAGAAGAATACTATTAGAATTATAAATATCAGCATAATTCACCTAAAGATGATAATTTGTGTAACCATTCATGCAACAGACAGAGTGGCTTTACCTGGAAGATAGAATTGTCAATTTCTGAAAAAGGTGAACGCCTTGATAAGGTGGCAGCATATTTCTGGTGCGCTCTAAAACCATTCTGTCATATCAGAGGACAAGAAAAATTGATAATGTCAGGAACCATTTGTTGCTATTAATAATCAAGTGATTAAATGCAGTTTCAATTTAAAAAATAAACCAGTTCACTTGAAATAAAATCACTTCACTAAAAGGATAATGAAAAGTTGCTATGAATCGCTTATAGCTGTAGTAAGCATAAAAAATAGAAAAAACCTAGAAGAAATTCAATTACAATTGAAGTTTTATTATAATTTTGGGAACAGAAAAAGGAAGCATAAGATGTTTTCTATGATACCTTCAATAATAATTCTGTACCAGCAACTGGATCAACAGAAGCATTTTTGTCAACGTTCAGAGCACACATACACTGGTCATACAACTCTGTCGGTACTAAGTCCACCGAAATGTCAAGTTTGGAAAGGTAGAACCGACTGAAAAGGGAAGTATTGTCGCTGGGTGTAGATGTATCAGGCACCTTTTCAAGGGTTGAGGACAAAGCGCGTAGTTGTACTTCTGCTGGAGAGCTGAGACTGGAAAACTTCCTTTCCGGAGATTTCTCAACAAGTTCATCCCGGTTATGTTCATCCTGCAACATCTGACTTGTCTGATCAGTCAAACCATTATCAACCAGGGCAGGAACTGATTCATCTTTGCAGACTGGGGAAGGCAATTCCTTCTTTGAATCACAATTCTGATCTTTCCAAGTCTCTGAACCAGATTCCCATCCATGGCTATTTGCTGAATGCCTATTCCTATCCCAATCAGAACTACCATACATGTGAGGATCATCTCTGAAGACACCATTACTACTATCCCATCCATGTAAATGAGCAGTTCCTGTACCATCCATCAAATTTGGCCACCCAAGGGGGCGCAAGTGACCTGGAAATCTGTCAGCATCTGCAATATGGTAAGGAATGCCAGCATGGTTAACTTCCATAGGAGGCCTAACACCAAAAAGTGGCTGAGATGTAAACTGTGGCACCATTGTTTGAAAACCTCCATGAGCTGGCCCAGGTGGGAAGGGAACAAACCCATTTGGTACTGGGGAATTCCAGTTTGGAACTGCTCTCCAGGCATTGCCACCATGCCCTCTTCCAAACCCTGGTTCACTACTTCTTCTGTATCGTGAATTAGAGTTGTCTCTAATGTCATCCTCTAAAGAACCCATATAAGGTCTATCTAAGGTAGTTCTGAAACCAGGCGGAGGAGGAATCAATGATGCATTGCTCTGATTACTCCTACCATATAAAGATGAATCTGCTTGAGAGGGCTCATCCAATAGTGGTTTCTCTAGAGTTGACTCCCGGCCAAGTCTATCATCAGAAGTAGAGAAATCTCTTACATCAGTACTGTTCCTCCTTCCACTTTCATCAATTTCAAGATTCCGCTTAACACCACTTCTGTTCACATACCTGCGATCAATACTTGTTGATGAAGGAGATCTTTCCATCAGGCCCCCAGGTGAAGCCTTGGTACTGGATGACCTTTCAGTTGACAAATCTCCTGCAGGACATTCATCTATTTTAACAGGTTTTTCCATTAATTTGTATTTAGGAACTCTATCTGATGTTCCAGTGTAACCCTCTCTTGAGCCTTTGGTTCTCTGCTCTACTGTTGGGTCTCTGTACTTTGAATCTTCAGCTTTTGCATTTCTGAAACATGGGGGAAATGGCAACCGATTACTATTTGATCATATGGTATAATTCCCATCCAAAAGTAATAGTTAGAGCTAACAAAAAAATTTAATCAATGCAAGCAAAACTTTTAATTCTCTTCAAAGTACAACTTTTCTCCTGTTGGCAAAGGGAAGCTTTCTTCATTGAGCTTAAAATACCTCTCAAACTTTCTCAAAAGTATCAAACCAAGTTATTATCGACATGAGATGCTTAGAAGGTAATATTTACAGACAATGACAGTAATGATAAATGAGAAGCTTATGCTAATCATTACACTTCCTCAGAAAAAATTACACATGAATTGTTGTCAGAAATCATATTATACATCACCACATTGCAGTTTCAATGCCCTGAGAAACTAATGAAACCAAAAAATGCAAAAAAAAAAAAACTACTTTCCTATCATCGCCTGAAAATTATAAATGAAAGTCACTACTTCAGCAGAACGTTTAACAAAAACTAAATAGTACCTATAGTCATCTTTGCCAATATGTGTATTTGAGGCAGGAGAAGATCTGTGCTTATTGCTAGTCCCAGTTGAATCTGCATGAGCTTGTCTATGTTGAGATCTTCCTCTGTCGACATCAGAATCAGCTCTGCTGGTGCTTAAACTCCTTTTCTCTGCATCAGGATAGTAGCTCTTAACTGCTCTGGATTTAGAGTCAGTATAATCATCACGATCATCCAAAGTTCTTTTCTTTGTTCCACTGTCTTTTCCTCTAACATTTCTATCATCTACATGTGATCCATCACGATCACGGCGACGGTCACGATCTCTGTCTCGCTCACGATCATGATCTCGATCCCGATCCCACTCCCAATCTCGATCTCTGTCATAATCATGATCCCTGTCAAGATCATAATCATGATCACGTTCACTGTGGCGTTCAGGATCACGAACAGAATCCAAGTCACGATCCCCATCACGATTGTGGTCCCTATCACTCTCTGGAAGCTTGGTTCTCTTTTGCCGTGATTCTAAACTATTTTTTTCTTCCCTAGAGTGTTTATCATCAGACCTAATGGCAGTATGATCTTTAGCAGGGCGCTCATCACGTTGCTTGTCATATCGATGTTTGTTCTCCCTGTCTATTTCCTCCTTATATTTGTCTCTATATTTCTCCTCCTTTCGCCTATCATCTTTCTTTTTCCCATCCTTGACCTCATCTCTAGAAGACAAATGTCTATCATAACCATCACCAGCATTATCTTGATGCTTATCACCATCACTATAGTCCTCCCTCTTCTTCCTTATTCGCCTCTCAATCTGGTTATCATGTTCAGGGCTTCGTAACTCATCCATTTTCTTTGAATCTACAAAAACGTATAGCCACAGATCAAAATCATTTTCTGAGCAAATTGAGTAGACCATATGAATGCATAAAAAAAAAAGTCTAGAAATATGGTGTGCTTCACATGAAGGTGTTAGGAGAAAGAATATGAAAAAGGTGAACTTAGGACATTTCCAGTTATGTTATAAGATAACTACACAAACAAAATTTCAAATAATCCACGATCACACCTCTAGAGGCATGGGTAGAAACTTGTTTAGCATTACTTTACCATCGCACACTCAAGCATAACAATCCTAAAAAGTTACAATAAAGCCTTTAATCACAACAACTGGTCTAAAAATATTGACAGATTAATTCCATCATGATATTGAGCTTAGCTGGTACAGTAAGAGATGAACTGTGTTGTTAAACTCTTAATTTATGATAGAATATTTGCTAAGCATATTTTCAAATGATAAGGATTGCAGGACAAAAACAATTTCACTAACATTTTATGAAACTAACAAAGCTTCAATACAAAAGTACTAGAATTTTGGACTGCTAGGAAGAACCAGTTGAGTTCCAATTAAATGTAAATAGATATGATGTATGCTATATTTCATCACAGAAGGATCAAAAGAAATTGAAACTTCCCAGATATTTTCACAATAAAAAGTACATGATAGCCAGCACCAAAAAGTGTACCCCGCCCCAAGTATATATATATATATATATATATATATATATATATATATATATATATATATATATATATATATATATATATATAGTGCGCGAGAGAGAGAGAGAGAAAGAGATCCGAGCATGCATATAAACAGAGCATATTAAAACACACAATAATTATTTTCATTCCAAAACATTAAATTTTCAACACAGGAAAGACAGCCATTCAGTTGCATAGGTCGCTAGGCAAAATTATCTTACATAATATACTTAAAAATCCACTGAACACGACACATATTCAATCTCAACAAAATACGATATAAAACCAGATCTTCAACAGAATAACGCAAATCACATGGATCACTCTGGCAATGGATAGTTATAAGAAAATTTATAGTTAACACCACAAGAAATGACGTTAAAGAACCTTGTGTAGCATCCTCTTCATCATTGTTGTCACTAATACTCTAGAAAATAATTTCAGCACAAGTTCTAAATGAAATCATATTCATGTCTTCTATGACCAGTTTTTTTGGGTCCAAGTCAAGTAAAACTATGCAATGAAGTATTGATATTTTGAAAATGATCACATTTGATCTGTCTTACAAAAAGTTTAAAAAATAATAATTTCATTTACCTTAAAACTTACCCAAAACATTTCAATCTATCCTCCCATTGAAGCACACCACCCATATATTTCGCATTCAATGATTCTTAACTGCTCTAATTTGCCAGTCCGTAACCAAATGAAGTAGAAAATAACCCATTCCCTTAAGGCAAGCTTTGCATATATGAGTGAGGAGCCCAAAAGAGTTGCCCATAGATATGGTGAAAGATATAGACTAATCCCCTTTCATTCAGTAACAGAAGGCGTGATGAGAGAAATAGACACAGTATTTATAAATAAAATTTTGGACACAACAAATATCATAGTGGGGCCCTTTACAGTAAAATAGTCTTTCATAGATAGACTCTACTATTATTGAGGTAAAAAAAAAGGTCCAAACTCTGTAAATCACTGTAACATTGTTAGTTAGATAATTTGAACTTTTCATTCATATTCTAGGGTGAGTTATAAATTTTGATAATGTAACTTAAGATTACAGTGACGTAATCAAATCTAATTATAATTGCTTACGAAAAAGACAGACAGCATCCATTTCTCCCACATCCAACCAATGCCCTCAAACTTAACATGAAGGGTTTATCATTTCATTTTAGATATATAACGCAGAGAGCTGCATACATCATTCAACTGTTATAGTTTTTATTCAGACGAAAGGGAAAATCAAGCAGCTTTTATAATATGGCCAACCTATAATAAAAGTTATCTTATTGGAAAGATTTGAAAGTGTCAATTATGCGAATTATTTTTAATTATACATATCATGTAACAAGCATTTGAATCAGCTCGAGCCAACACATATGGTGAAATTTAAAATCGTACAAACAATGCATGGATGCACTTACCACAGCAACTCAACTGATACTCTAACCTAAATCCATCAATTTTCTTTACTTATGTTGTCATAAACGCTGTTCATCATTCAACGACCTCAAAATAGGAGAAGAGGATTTGAACTCATTAGAAGGGGAGGAAGATGAAAGCAGTGACAAAAACATGATTCGGCCTACATTTCCAAAAGAATGTCACAAGGCAAAAATTTGTTGGAATGACTTGTAGAGAAGTGACATTGAATAAACAGTAACTACATTTCCAACAGAATGTCACAAGGCAATAAATTGTTGGAATGAATTGTACATTAGTGACATTGAATGAACAATGTCAACAGACAGAATGGGAGGAACAAGGAGAGATTAGATATTACATCTGTTAAAGAGTAAATCTGTTGTAACAAATGAGAGCAGAGAACTTGTACGAGAGAAAAATGTAGAAATTGTTTTCAACATTCAAATTTACAGTCATGAGCTACAAGTCAAATTGGTCACCCAGAATTACAGAACTACTTCCAAGCCATCTATAGAGGCAACTTGCATACACAACCAGTCAAAAATCATATGGCTTGCCCCCACTGTTCATAAACTAAGAGCAAGAGGAGGTGCTTATACTCGAAACTCAAAGCTAATATTTAAAAGCCTAACCCCTGCTGCTCTCATCCAAACAAACACACAGCCGAAAGTCAAATATCGATCAAATTACCATGCTATTCTTTTTAACATACACGTACAAGCGCAAAACGTGCTTCAGTTCGAAACAATTCATGACACTATAAATGCAAAAATCACCAATCAATCAAGTCAAGTTACTTTACCATTAATTTCAAAGACCTGTTTGAATACACGCTGCTCTGGCTCATCGACCGATTCCTCACTCCTACCACCTTCTTTGAATTTCCTGTCCTTCTCCTTCTCCGTCGCACCCTCTCTGCTTCGCCCCGAAGCCGAATCCCTATGCTTCCCATCCCCTTTCCCACTACTCCTCTTAACCTCATCCCCCTCACCGTACACTCCCACGCTTCCGTCTCTCCTCCTGCTCTTCGAATCCCCCGCCGCCTTCGACTTCTTCGTCCCTTCCTCGCCACCATTCCACCTGTCTCCCCCGCCGCCGTCCTTACGCCGCTTCGACGACGACGCGTAGTCGTCAGAGTACTCCCCATTCCCGTGCGCCTCCTTTGAATCCATCCTCCGCTTATCCCCGGAACCCGAATCTTTCGACGCCTTCGCGCCGACGCTCTCCTCCTTGCTCCTCCGATCCTTCGCGCCGGAATCTCTTTCCGAGTCGGAGTGCTCCCTCGCGTCCCGAGAACTGTGCTTGCTCGATTTGTGCTTCGAACTGCGCGGCATCGCGGAGACGACCCAAGAAAACCCTAACCGTCAAAATTAAATCAGGAGAAGTTGAGCGAATCGCGAACAGAAACCCTAATTGGAAGGAATCAAGTGTGAGAGAATGATACGCCGGAACCCTAATAGAGAGAGTCCTCGCACCGGATCACGGAGATCGAATGTGAGGAAAATTACATGAAGGTCCAATAGGTATACTCTGGTCGTTTAGGGTTAAATGCGGAACAGCGCGTAAATGTTGAGTTGAACAGTAGAAGAAAATCGCAAAGAAATCGAAGGACTCTCTCTTTCTCTCTCTCTCGGGGTATGTGTAATCTATGTGATATGTGTGACGGGTGTATTTTTGGTTTTTGCTTTATCGGCGTTCTTGATGAATAATGAGAATTGAAGGAGAGGGGGAACTGGGGATAATGGGAAATAGTGTGCGTTGACGGAATTACCCTTACATATTTATAATTATGTAAGTTGTATCCCTGTGCGGCGCGGGTTTCGTGTTTGGTTCACAGTGCTGTAAATTAGGTTTCGCTCTGTGCGCACTCTCCAATAGGAAATAGACACGGCGTTTCGTGGTGGTGCCTCCTCATCCTGTCTATTAGCGTGCATCGTGTATTGGTTTTTAAAAACAGAAACAAACGCATACATGTTCAAATTTAAAGATATTACTTACAAAAGAAAAAGTATCCTGAAGAAAATTTTACATACTGACTACTGTGTATTTGTGTGTGTGCGTGTGTGTTTACTTTTCTTTTTTTATTTTAAAGATGTTAAATAGGAAATTAGACATATAATTATTTTAAGATTAGATTTTGTATGTATTTAGTGAGATAGTTTTTTTATGCGCAATTAATAAGATTCAATAACACTACCAGTGCCAGGTTTATCTACGTTAAGTGAGTGAGAAGTATGATGGGTCAACAGTGATGAATAGCGTTGAATGGGTAAAATTTTTTAACTGCACTTCTAGTAAAAGGATAAAATAATATTCAATTGTAAGAAAATAAATTATATTGATTATTTTTTCATAACATTTATTAAATTATATTATTTTTTATCAAATAAAAATAATTAATCTTATCATCACGAGTGAAGAGAAAATATAAAAAAATATTTGAAAAAAAGCGTAATAAACTTAAAAAAAATATCATGTAATATATACAAGAAGTTATTACGAAAATGATGATACTAACAAGAAGAGAGAAAATGTGTGATATACATTACGATTAAAAAAATAATTATTTTAAAGAATCAATAATATAAAAATATGATAAACTAATACATGTATTTCCATTATTATTATTATTATTATTATATTTTTTATAATTTCTATCCGTTTCAATTATTTAATAGTTTTTCAAAATATTATATATATATATATATATATATATATATATATAATATTTAAAATGTATGTTAAATACGAAGATATCAATTTAGGTTCAACATAACTAGTTAATTTATCTCATTTATTAAAATAGGTTGAATTGAGTTATGTGATCTAACCTTTTTAATCTTATGGTTAAGAAATATATTGAATTTATTTCTCTTATTCAACAAAGTTTATTTTCTGATATCATTGCTAAATATTATTATTGGACATTAAACAGGGAAAATAATTCTTAAAAATTCAAGGGCAGTTTTTTCATTGAACGAATAACTTTTTATACAGTTAAAGTTCCTTCTCCTAGCTTAAAATATTCCTCTTTGAAAGGTGTTATTTTACTTTTTACACACAACTACAAAATCATAACTCACTAAAAAAAATGAGGGTGTGGATAAATAAAACAACATGGGAAGAAAAACATAAATAGGGATAACTTTTAATATCTCTGGGTAAAATTGTTATAATCACTGCTAAGTGGATAAAATAATACCAGTCCATGAAAAAAAATGTAAAAATAAATGTAGTGATAATTTTTAAATAAATTAATACAATATAATAATATAAAAAATGTAAAAATAAATGTAGTGACAATTTTGTATATGGTTGAAACTATATTTTCATGAAATATGTGCATTTTAATTTAATTTGGACGGTTAAAATTTTTTCTATGTTGTTTAAGTTTCTATGCAGAAAAATTGTAATATAATGATAGTAACAAGTAACATAGTTTGCTAGGAGTTAACGATAATTCTTGCAGCTTACATTTTTCTTTATATATATATACTTTTATAAAAATAAATATCTTTTTATTTTATTATATTGTACATTTTGACACCCAAACAATTTTTTTGTCATGGTGGCAGTGGGACTTTAGTAATTGGTTAATAATTGATAACAAGAGGAAGACCATTTAAATATGGAGAATATATCATGTTATTAACCTTAAGTAGTGAAAGAAATTCCAATATATACTTTTAGTAAAATTGGATTTATAATATAAGTTATATTTTTTATTTTTGAGATTTTAAAATTGTTTTAAACATTGGATCAAACTTGCTGGTTCAAATGATTTAACTGAGAATTGACTCAGAAATCGATTTGATACTCTAAATAATCAGATTTTAATTCAATCGAAATTAATTAAAAAAAATAGATAAAATTAAAAAAAATGGCTAAATTTTTAGATTGAACAGATATTTAGTAAAAAAAATTAAGATTAAACTTTTTTAATATAATTTTTTATTAAAATTATAATATTTTTAAAATTTTTCATTATAAGACACGTCAACTTTAAATAATAATTAATATATTATATTTATATCTTATTTCAATAATTAACTACCTTATCTTTCTCACATATTTTATATTTATAACTTTTATTATATCTTATCGTGATCATTATAATAACCTCTATTATTTTTCTTGTTTTTTAAAAAAAACATTCTTACTAATAAATTTATTATATACTTGTTATATTATAAAAATATTATTTTATTAAATTCAGTTGAATTTTTAAATCCTGAACTTATTGAGTGACCAATCCAATTTTAAAAATATTGATTTTTACATGTATAAAAATATTGTTTTTTTTTAATGAAATTGAAGCTTTAAAAGAAAACTGTGGTGGAATGGTGAAATTTTTTTACTTAATAATTTTGTTATATTTGTATTGATATTTATTATGTGTGGGGACTATATTTTATATTCGAAAAAAGAACTGAGTTAGACTTTTACATTATTTTAGGGATAAATTATATTTTTGTTGTTTTAATTACGTGTGTATTTGTAATGATGCATTTAAGTTTATATAGGATATACACTTTAATATTAATTAATTTGATATAATTTATCATATATATTAAATGAGATAACATTTTGTGTACGATATTCAAATTATGTTGTGCTATTTATGAGGTGTATTGCATTGTTGTTTAAATTGTTTTTACAATTATGTAAAAAGCACAAATAGAAAAACACTTGATATAAGTGGACTATTTAAAGAAAAAGATGTATTTATAAGTGTGACTATAAAAAAGTTATAAAATGCATATAATAATTAAAAAAAAATTATAATTACCTTAAACAATATATCTAAGTTTAATAAGCTTCATGTATCTTAAACTCTAATTTAAATCTCTTTCCTAACTTCATTATGTTATCCGTAATTAATTTTAGTATGTCCTCTTTTGTTACTTCACCATGTTCTCTTTTGTTTATTTTAATAACATACTCCTTTACTATTTGCTTACAATCTACATCATGAGAAAAAAAGAGAGAGATAAAAATAATTAAACACAAGGTAAAACTAAAAGTTAAAGTAAAAATGCATAACTTAAAGCGATGCAAGTAGAACTTCTACGTCAAACTTATACTCATAATTTACAAATGATTGTGATTATTTTGTTGATAGATATTTATTGTTTATGTTCTGCTTAATTATCAGTTATGTTAATAGATGACACTTGATTGACTAGGTTTGTAGGGACAAATAGCTAAATTTTAGCTACTTAGTTGTTAGCAGTTTTGACACCCACATATATATGTAGTTGATTTAGTTTTTTTTTTTTTTTGCCGTTAGCTTTGCTCAGCTATAATAATGTATTATGCTATGCAATGAATAATAAATTACAAATGAACATTTTTTTTTCATAGAAAAACTTACTTGTTTTTTTTTTCACAATTTGGTATCAGAGATCCTTTATAGGGGCTTAAACCAGAAAAACTCATTCGGAGATTGGGTGAGTGTGAGAGAGCATCTACTGCAAGGGGTATACATTAGGGTGTGAGAGAGAGAAACACCTATAGAGTGCAAATGTGAGTATTGAGAATTATTCTACAGTCATGATAGATACTAGCAAGTATGTGCAACTGACAATTCCCAATTTTGATGGACACTATAATCATTGAGCGAAATTGATGGAAAACTTTCTTCGATTGAAGGAGTTTTGGCACTTGGTGGAGCATAACATCGTTGATGTTTCCAATAAAGCCAATGCATCAGAAGAAGAAATGAAATTAATTGAGGAGCAAAAGCTGAAGGATCTAAAAATAAAGAATTATCTGTATCAAGCTATTGATAGAGAAATTTTGGATATTATCCTGAACGATGATATGTCAAAAAATATTTTGAACTCAATGAAGCAGAAATTGAAGGGATAAACTCGAGTTAAACGTGTCCAATTGCAAGCATTGCACAAAGACTTTGAATTTCTACAAATGAAGGAGGGAAAATATGTGAATTCATATTTCGCTCGGACTTTGAAGATAGCTAAAAGTATGAAGGTTTGTGGTAAAAACATGCAAAAAAATGTCATAACGGCAAAGATTTTGCGGTCCATGACAATAAAATTCAATTATGTAGTATGTTCAATTGAAGAATCCAACAACATGGAAGCCATGACCATAAATAAACTACAAAGTAGTTTACTGATTCACAAACAAAGGATGGTACTGACTGTAGAGGAAGAACAAGTTCTACAAACTGTGATAGATGAAAAATATGGGAGAGGAAGAGGATGGGGAGGGGGTAGAGGATCCTTTTGAGACGGAGGTAGAGGAAGACAATCATTCAACAAAGTTGAAGTTGAATGTCACAAGCTTGGACACTTTCAATATGAGTGTT